CCCCCCCCCCCCCATAAGTTTTCTAATGGTCCGTCCCTTAAGGAAAGTTTTTCAAATCCTTTTTCGGATTTCCCAATCGAACGGTAAAGATTAAAATCTAAAAACAGATATCTCAGCGTTGAAATCCGTTTTCGGATTTCGCGTTCGATCGCAAATCCGAAATCCGAAATCCGGATTTTAAAATCTAAATCCAGATTTCCAAATCGAACGCACCCTTGAATTAGCCTGCGAAAACAGCGGTCTCTCCTCACCCCTTGGGACATTTCGCAGTGGAAACATCCCTAGCAGGGAAGAGCACGGAGAGACAGCTGTCTTTGCAGGCTACATCAAAATGTGCGGTTCTAGAACATATATCTTCACTCCATGAATGGTTATTCGAAATTTCCAGGGGATTAACAACCTCGTTCCCAGGGTTCTCTGCTACCCGCCCCCTGTAGGGCGGGTAGGAGAGAACCCTGGGAACCAGGTTGGGGGATTAAGTCTTGAAGGCCTGCCGACATATTTAAGGAAATTTTGAGATTAAACTGAAAATTCTGAAGGGGAGGTGGGCTTAAACCAAAAACCCCGTATACAGTCGACTCCCGATAACTCGAACCCTCGCTAACTCGAACCTCGCGCTAATTCGAACCAATTTTCGTTTCCCCTCAGGTCATTTTCTGTATAATTTCACCCTCAATAACTCGAACCATGTTTTGAGCCCTTAAAAAGTCGGGGAAAAAGCCGTCTTCGGGCGTCCGAAACATTGAATTTTGGATTTGCTATTGACGTGTTGTAGGAGTATAGTTTACTAGTGGAGGCTGATGTTGATTGTCACAGGCTAACGTGAAGCAGCCTTTCTTCTCAAAACAGTAAAACGCATGCTCCATTTAGGCTATGTATTGTTACGTTACGTTCTGATTTATAATCTAGAAGTATCTTTTAATTTTTACTTCGCATTTCTACAATTAAATGTTCACTGTGCAGTAAAAACTGCCTTTTACCTTACTCTCGGCTATTTTCTTCGAACTCCCGATAACTCGAACCTTTTTTCGATTTCCCTTGAAGGTTCGAGTTATCGGGAGTCGACTGTATATACCACAGGTAAGGTAATTCAACGATGATTTAATATTGATTTAAATATATAGTTACCGATATATCGCTATAGGTGACGCAAACGGTAAATCTAGTACATTTACTATAAAATAACAATCGGCTACACAAACAGATTGTGTGGGCTCCCTGTGGTAACATCGCACTTATTTACATTGAAAGAGAAAGAGAGAATGATCTAAGAGAGCGAATCTCACATACATGACCCTCTTCCCATGAAAATTATTTTCAATGTATTCTTGGTTCTGTGTCATACTGCGTGGTTATTTTAAGGACGCCACCTTATTGGTCGGTTAGAGTGGCGTCATGTAATTTTAAACTTGGCGGGTAGTTCATTTCACTGCTGATCACGCACAGCAAGCGATATGACATGCAAACTTGGTATTACTTTCGTTGACGAGTCGAAAGATTTCTACGTGGAATAATCTGGCCAGAGTAGCTGCCGAAGAGCAAAACGGTCCTAGCTTGTGGGAGTTGGTCGGAGAAAGCGGTTCCGACTCTACGAAAACTGTTTATTGAGGTCTTTGCTATATCAGTATACATGTATAAACAACCTATTGCATTCATTCTCTCTTGGAAAGGGCATATGCCAACTCTGTTGTCAACAATGACATAGATCGTCTCATTGATATTTTCGGCGGTCGAAATGGCAGAGACAGCTATTTCTTTTAACTTGTTTTATGAGCTCATATGATAAATTCATATATATGAATATTTTCACTTCATATGTAGGCCTAAGTTAGTGTAAAGTATTACCCTCGTTTCTTCTCCACTGTTGCGTAAAAATTTGGGCAACTTGTGAGATTTTTTTTAATGCATACGCATTTAATTTTCAAAGAATTGTTTTTAATTATCAAAAGAATGTCAATCTATCTGTTTGAGGGAGGCAACACACCAAAAAATCCTCAGGCGCTTCGTATTCTTTCTCAGCTGGTCCCTTCACTTTATGTGACAAGAAGTTTCTGCCTGTAAGTGCGTAGAGGAACAAACACGGCAAAACTGGATGCTGCGACGGGGACAACTAACTCGGAGCGACTTCGCTTGCCGCGAGAGCAAGGCTCGTCACAGCCTCGGTACACAGGATCTCACTACATTGACGCGCTTTTGGCTCCGCAAGTTAACGCACGTAAACTTTAATCACGTAAATAAAATAGAGGCAAGATAAAAAGGGCTGAACTTCAACGAGAAATTGAGCGAGGTTCAACTTTTACGCTTACGAGCGACCTCTCATACATTGCCTCTATTTTATTTGCGAACGTAAATTTTACGCACGTACGCAGGTAAAAATTACGCGACACTGGGAATCAACCCTAACTGTGACTACGGACAGCAAATACTCCAGACTTCTTGAACCTGCGTAAAATCTTTAATCTTGCTCACAGGACAACTAAAACATAACCAATATAACAAACACAACCAACATAACCAACCTATCTTTACAGGGCACTTGCTTATGTGGCGACCACTTGTAGAAACAGAAAGTAGTTATACTCAAAATCCGTTTACGTAGCATTTTAATAACACTGCAGAACCACTTGAGTGACAGTTAAGAGAAACTCTGCTTGAAAGAAAACTAAGTTAACATTTACGTGGACGGAAAAACTTTCTTCATTGAGTAAACTAAAGACAAAGAAACCGCTATGAAAAGACTGAAAATACAAAGAAACTACCAAATATTCTTTTGACCAAAATTTGGCTATTTTAATTGCACGTGTTCGCTACGACCAGATGTACGGTAGTACAACTTCATTTGAATAACTCGCAGAGAACTATTATCCAGGAAAAACGTTCAAAAAGGAAAGCAAGATAATGTGAAACTTACGGGAAAAATACGAATAGATAGGACGAAGCTGAAACAAGAATAAATTCGAATAAATATATAAGTCCAAAATTTCTATAATTCTCCCGTAACATTTACACTTTATGGTGCGGGGAATCGGGCGATTGCTGTCAAGAATCTCTTGGCTCACAACCACGCGACAAGGCGGCCATGTTGGTGGTGTGTTGGTGGTCAATACAATAGAAGTTTTTGTCAAAGAATTTACATGAAAATAGGGTTTTAGTTCCCAGAGGAGGGAATTACTTTTGTTCAGGACCACTAACATGACCACCGTGACGTCGTGTGCAAATAAAATCCCGTTAAAAAACACTCGCAGCTGCTTGTATTTAACACATATAACTTCTCTCTCACAATCACTATGTGCTCGGTTTAGAGCACAAAACTCAACTACTCTGGAATCTTAGCACAATGGTCCAAAGAAACCTATTTGCACTTTCTACTGATGGAAAACTACTTTTCCTTCATTGGTTAATTGTTCCTTAAACAGATATGCTGAATAATTAGATGTTTGCTTTGAGGGTCCCCAATAGGTTCTTCCCTCGCGTAGGAAATCCCGACCAAAACTTCCGTGCAATCCCGTAATCTCGATGGTTATTTTTGGCATCCCACCTCGCGGCATACTTTCGATCCCGAATCTTGCATCGATTTTGCGTTTTAATCCCGAATTCCGAGCCTCAAATAAGGGAAATCCTGGATCCCCCAGAAACCTTTTGGGGACCCTCTGCTTTCGGCTTTAACCAACTTGTAGAACGACATCAAAACTAATTACGACAATGGCCATCTTTAAAAGAGTCAACATAACAAATCTTCCTTTAAAGTTGTCGGAACCTTGAACCATTCTTTTACATTTTCTCCTTTTAGGAAGTAAGACCTTTTGTACAGTAATCCACATAAAAATCTAGTGATCTGTTTACCCAGTTCCAACCATTCGGTACTTTGTCGACAGGGAAAATGCGATGCCAGTAAACAGTGACGGTGTGGGATTCAGGATCAAATTTCGCCAAAATACTAGCTGCCTTGATGTCCATCATGCTTTCTTGCATGGGACTTCCATGCATCATTGTAAAAGCGTGGATATTTTGGGAGCACAGCACAGTACAAAGGTTCCACCCTGGACTTAATAGACAGATACCGTCGTCAAATTCGTCTACAGAGGGGAAACTTAAAGCAGCAACAACACACAAAGAAATGCCAGCTTTCATTGGCGAGTTAGACAGTAGCCTTAACGGTTCGCATACCTTATTTGCTTCTCGAATAGAGTTACAGACAAAAGAATGAACTGCTTTACCAGAGTGAAAGCACTGTTTGCTACAGTATCTTGCAACAAGGCAACTGGAACATTCGATCCAATCATTATCCGACTGTAGATCTGTCCAGCATCCAGAGCACTCTCCTACTTGTGTGTAGGGAAAAACATGAGGCACATCCAAAACTTTGTTGTCAACAAGCAACGGGCTCCTGAATTCATCCACAACATGAAACATGTCAGATTTCTTAAGACGAAGGAAATGACCCAAGTAAAATACAAAGGAAGAATTCTGGGCAGTTGTCAGCAACCGCTTAAAGTTCATTTCCAGTGGGCAAATTTCCTTTGCATTGGCAGGAAACACATCAGGACCAAGATTTTCTCTAAACTCACATTTTTCAACTGAAACAATTCCTTGGCCATTTAACATGATACGAAGGCCTCCACAGCAATTGTTATTAAATGCGGTTCTTGTGCATTTTAGTTTGCTTCCAGCACAGCACACGATTCCCCAGCCAAAACTATGGGAAATGACGTTTTCTTCTAATGCTGCGTTTGATCCTCGCAACACTAAGGCATGCCGTTTATTGGAATGCAATAAATTTTTCACTAATCCCCCATTACAACCTCCTGTTGCTACAATACCATCTTGATAATTATCAGTAAAGTTATTCTTTTCCATGTAAAAACGTGCGGGAGAATCTATTATAACACCATATATATTGCGTGTTACGTCACTTTTACAACACTGAAATGGGAATCAGTTGTTCCTCCGTGAATAATGATTCCAGGTTCACCATTCATCATAATTGTGGAAGACCTCACTGAAACGAACGGTGATGTGCCCTCACCAATACCCCTGCACGATTTGAAAATTTGAGAGAACAGTGTTCCATGACCAATGATTTAACGTCATTAGCCTCTACCAGAGCATTAAGTTCGCGTTCACTGGAGGCGCTCACTTCCTTCCTGGCCAGACGGGATCTTCCTAACGTTACTGAAAGTAGCTCTTCTCTCTCTACAGTACTACCGGCTGCTTCAAACGACAACCGTTGATCGCGGTTTGCTGAGGGCGAAGAATTCTCGAAATGAACATTTTCAAATAGAAAAGACGCATCTGACAAAAACAAACCTTCGCTGAAACTAAGCACCGCGGAACTTCCAGGAAGACAGACAAAATAATAACACCCGTCAGATAAAACAATCTTATTCAAATCAAATCTCCCTTCGGCTAGAATGACTGTAAATGAATCATTTGAATTTCGTTCTAAAGAGAGCTGTCTCTGTGATTCCTTCAGCTGGTTAACATTGGTAACAAACTTGTAGTTGATTCTATCAAGTAATCCTGAAACTTTCTGAAATTTATGTTGCAGTTTTCGAATATCACCTGCTTTGGAATTTGCAAATTTGTAATGAAGTACTGCTGCTGCGGCTTGGGCTCTGCTGGTGAACTCAGTTCTACCACTTTCAACGAGTTTGCAAAGTGCGTATGTCTTCCAGTAGTAACCACGATATAGCTCAGTGTCTGCGTAAATAGAAGCATTGAAGTCTTCCAAAGCTGTCTCAACGTTTTTCAATTGCATATTCGCAATACCACGGTTACAAAAAATTGTTCCAAGTGGACGAACGCAAGGTTGATTTACTGCAACTGGTAGGTTAACAATCTCAGTGTACAAATCAGACGAGGCTTGATAATCGCCCCTGGAGAAAGCTTCTCTCGCCTTTGGTTCTATCATTTCAATCCCTTCTAACAATTCGCTGTTTTGAGTGGTGCCTATCTTGACACCCGTTCTGCCAAAGACATTTTCAGTCGTTTCTTCTGACGGAGCTGTTAACTTTAATACAAGAAGACCAGGGTCATAACGGGGCCTTAGGACTCTCGCTACTTTCATTAGTTCATCACCTTTGTAAAAACAAATGGACTTTTTCACTGCGCACAAAATGTCGAACACTTGTTGTTGTAAGCGGTATCCTTCACTGTTCATTCCCAAAAAATAGCAATAGAAGGCTGCTTCGCAAAATATCCTGGCAGTTTCCTCATGGAGTAGGTAATCATGCTTCAAGCATGAATTTGCCAAGAGATGAAGAATAAGGTGAAGAGCGTTCGCGGAGAGCGGTTTCCATCGTCGGACCTCCAAATTGGCCCCTACAATGTTTGCGCTACGCGGCTGGACAAGATACTTGCCACTCCACCCTGTCTTATCTTTCAGAGACTCCACTGTCGCATCCACATCGACAAGGAAGTCTGTCCCCCCAATACAGTCGAGAAATGCATGGTGCAACATTCGTACGGCAGAGGAAAAAGCCTTTTCAGTTTCGCCTTCATTACTATAACGCTCTTTCAAAGTCTCTTGAACAAGTCGATGGATACTCAAGCTATCATCTGACTTGCGTTTGAAAAGTGAAAACCTAAGCAACAAATCAACAATTTGTTCTGCACCGATTGGCATTTTCAAGCGGTCCTTCAGGTATTTATGTTCAATCTCTGGGGCACCCACATTTAAAATCTCAATGGGTATCTCATCTGGGGACAGATATGTGGCAATTTTCATGAAGAAAGCCGCCGCCTTTCCAAGCCTTTCATCCGTTTCGTCATTTTCTATATAGCTGAAATTCAGACACCATGTTGTTTGTACTGCCAGGCGTGCCTCACTGTAGACCTCTGAGCATGGTTTGGCGCTTTTCCTATTCAAAAGAATCGACTTTTGTTTACGATACTGCTCAAGGTACGATTGAGCCGAGCACTTTAACGCACTGACGTAAGCAGCAGCTTGTTCTAAGGCCAACGGTAATCCATCGAGCTCCTGAGCAAGTTCTTTCACTCCTTCCTCTTGACTTTCAAAAGCGGATGCTAATCCGGTGCGTTTCTTTAGGAATTCAATAGATTCGTCGACAGAAAAAGCCTCCAGCTCAAGACAGTTTTCAGGACGAAGATCTAGGTCCTCACACAACGCTTGAGGACTTCTACGAGAAGTGACAAGAATGTCCCCTAAAGTTTTATTTTTCCACTGGCCCAAAAACATTTTTCGTGTGTAGGAGCTAAGTTTCTTTTGATCCATGTTGTCTACAAGCAAAAGCCACTTGTGCCTCAGACTGCCAAGCCAAGAAAGAGTTTCCGTCATTAGATGATCAAACTGTTTCGCTTCTTCACGCCTGTCGGGCTGGGACTTGAACACGAATTGTCCATGGATTCCTTGAAAAGATGCTCGCAACAGTTCGTCACTTTCTCCATTTATAACGTAAACCCCTCCGGAGTAACGTTCCAGGTTGTGCCAAGCATATTCGAAAGCAAGAGACGACTTCCCACAGCCTCCGAGTCCACAAATACCATGAACTTTAGCCTTTCTCTTACCGCTTCCAGTACCAGCTCCTGTAGTATTAACTTCTTCAAAAGCTTTGTCCAATGATTCCAACTCTTTTTTCCGGCCTGTAAAATACTCATTTCTGTCCAACGCTCCAAAGAACGATGGAGGGTTGACACTTTCTTGACGTCTCGCTAGTCTGCAACTAAGATCTTCTACCTTCTGTTCCAAGGTTTCCACCTTGTGTTCTACTTGTTCAACTTTGTGGGGAAGTTGTAGCAGCTGTTGTAGGTTTTGCTGCACCTCGCAGAGCTGTGATTTTAACAGGTCGTTCTGTTCTTTGTACTGGCAAAAAAAATGATCTAACTTGCACGAAAGCTGCAACACTTCATTATGAACCAAGCTTAATAGGGAAGGATCTACTGGGGAGTTTCCACAGAACGTTACGCCTGTAAACAGAACATTTTAACGACTTAAATAACGTTACTTAAAATAAATCAGTTGAGTATTTAGGGATCAGTCATTACTTATCGCTTGGGGGAGTGGGGGGGAATCGGAGGAATTTGGGGATCACCTGGTTTTTAGGAGAACAGAAGAGGGATCATTCGTAATTGAAAACTCAAAAAAGGGGATTACTGATAAAAATTTAGAAAAATTCAGAGGGACCACTTAAATCTGCTTCGACAATGCCAGTTTGAGAGCATATAAAAAAATGCGTCCATTCTGCGGGGATATAAAAGTGTTTGCAGTCTCAGTTTGTTCTTACACAACTTTATCTAGAAAGCGCAAGTCGTTGTACTTTCGAAAATGTACATTTTACTTTATATGGAGAACATTTTGTGTCACTTTTATATTTACCCTTTCCATAACGTGCTTATAACAAAGGGCTAATATTCAACTAGTTTGAACATGACAGGTGAATTCTGACTTGTGAACCATAACTCATTTGGCAACTGAACCATTATGAAACAGCGTCATGGCCTCTCCACGAATGGACACCCTTCCTCAGCTCTATACTAAATCCGATTCAAACGCCTCTTCTGTCTCATCTTGAGCTTCATCATCCAATGTTTCTTCATTTGTGTCTTCAACCTCATCATTCGATTCATTTAGTCCAGAATTACGGTAGGTTGACCTTGTAGTAATTATCTTTATACTCTTAAAACAGCTGCTACTCGTTCTAGAGTTTAAAATCACGAGCTCCTGCGATCTACCGAGACGTTTTATCACGTGATTCATAGCATAAATCACGTGACAAAACGCCGAAATCCATAAATTGATAACATTCCGCGATGGAACCTTGTGTGTAAAAAAGTTTTTCTTTCCTATCCTGTAAATTGAGGTTTATTACAGACATTTCCAAATTCCAATTCGATCTAGAACGCACGAAGAACACTTTAAAGTGCTCCGTCGGAAAACAAATTTCTTCTTTGAAAAAGTACTTGTTTTGACAAGTACTCTTCTCCCTTCATCATTTGAGAATAGCAATGGAAAAGAGCTAGGGTATTTAGGTTTTTACAACAAAACTGTGACTTTGACAAAAAGATACTTAAAAATCAAATTAAATTACCTTTGTTCTCCCAGTCACTTAGTTCGGATAGGATTTTAGTTTCATCTGCTATGGGCAGGCCCAGGGATTGGACAAGTTGCTGCATCTCCTTAAAACAGCACTGAAACTTCACTGCATCCCAGTCTGTAAAGTTACAGTGAGCCCACTCATTTCTTACATGATCTCTTACTGTCTTAGCTGATGACTGTATTGCAGGTGAAAACACAGGTACTTCACCAAGCAGTAGAAGAACAGCAGACCCNATTGGACAAGTTGCTGCATCTCCTTAAAACAGCACTGAAACTTCACTGCATCCCAGTCTGTAAAGTTACAGTGAGCCCACTCATTTCTTACATGATCTCTTACTGTCTTAGCTGATGACTGTATTGCAGGTGAAAACACAGGTACTTCACCAAGTAGTAGAAGAACAGCAGACCCATCACACTTACCATCAAATGCATTGAACTTGGCCATGAAAGGCTGAAGGTAAAGTTTGGCAAAGTCAACATGACTTGATACCTTATAGTCAAATTTTGACAAGTCAAACTTTCCAGAGGAGAGTTTGTGACTGCTGTTACCATTGATGTTTTCATATTTCAGATGTTTGGGATGCTTCTTGAGAATCCCAGGTGGAGTTTGGCTGTGAATGTTATGGCTGGACTTCAAGCTCTGGTACCCTGCCTGTAAAGACTGTTCTACAAATGGTCGAATATGAGGCACCAGCTTGTTGAAAGCAATCCCAATAACCACCCATCGTTTTTGATCTTCCGCTATATTCATGGCATCTCCTAAAGAATATCTATTGAAAACAAAATTAATGTTTTACATTTTCAGGTCACTGTAAATTCCCTCTCTGACAATTTTTCCTATTGATCCCCACTTGATCATCACCCCCTTTGTGTTAAAAAGCCTGCTACTAATGTTAATAATACAGGCATTTTTCAACTAAACTGACCTTCTTTCAACAACAGGATTGGTCATCAATTACTGAGGGGAAAAGGGAAGAAAAAACTAAAAACTGAGGGCCCATAAATGTGGCCCTTCCTCAAATTTTGTCTAAAAAATCTTGACCCTCCCCAAACCGTCAGCCCTAAAAATTTTTGAATGGATAAGTTTTTGTTGCATTATTGGGTTAATTGACTAAAGCAATCAATGGCTTATTATAAACGTTTCTAATTTTCGTAAAAAAATTAAATCACTACTCCTTGATGTTCTAGGTAATGAAGATAATTATTTGAATGTTAATTATCTAAAAGAATATTTTGTGAAGTTAACCTGATATGTTTTATATACCTCCAGTTGTAATTTTAGTCTTTTTCAAATAACAAAATCCCTTGTACTTGAATTTATATGTAAGGTGTTTCTTTCTGTATGTTTTTGTATTTCATTTCTTCTTTTCTTTTTTTCTTATGTAATTTAATAACGCCTTTAGTTAAAGTCTTGTCCTGCCTAGATTAGCATTATAGCTATTTGCAGGACATGAAGTATTGTAAACTTTATATTTCTTTAAATAAATACGTTGTTGTTGTTGTTGTTGTTGTTGTTGTTATAAATCAAGCCAACAAGGTAGGTAGTATATCAGACAGGCATAGCTACGCCCCTGAGCAAGTGAATCACAGTGTCACTGATTTGCAAGTGCTATCAACAAAGATATGGGCAGGGCTGGTTACATGTAATGCAAATGGTGGTATCAAAAACAAAGATCCCTAAAACGAAGACCAAAGACCCCCTCAAAAACAAAGACCTCAAAAAACGAAGACCTCGAAAATGAAGACCCACTCGAAAACGAAGACCCACGCGAAAACCCAATTGATGTGTAAAGTCTTGAAAAGACTCAACAATCTAAGAGAAAACAGAGGGTCTGTGAAGCAAACTAGTATAATTGGGTATTCCTTATTATAGGAAATTAATCATACACTTCATAAAATGTGGAATTTTACATCCAGGATATGATCAGTAACTGTAAGCTAGATTATTAAGTTCACTTACCTATTAACTATTTTGTGGGCTTGTTAGATTTAATGGTGTTTGATTTGATTTGATCCTGGTCAATTGTGTTTTCAAGACTTTATGCATTGATTGGGTTTTCGCGTGGGTCTTCATTTTCAAGAGGGTCTTTGGTCTTCGGTCTTTGTTTTCGATACTACCATTTGCATTACATGTAACCAGCCCCATATCTTTGTTGATGGCACACTCAAAACAGCAACACACAATGTCTTTGTTGGCTGTTTTGCAGTTTTGCTGTGAAATGAGCAGCCATCGTCTTTAGTTTGGATTGCCCAAAATTTCTTTACTGCTGGCTTTGATTCCGGCAAACCCAGAAGTTGTTAAAGCATTTTCAGCTTGATTTACACAAACATCACGATTCCTTACTTTTTATGTTCTTTGGAAAAATGGTTTGCAGTGATGAAGTTGAACTGGCTCTGATTAAAAAAGTATGGGCAATTTAGGAAATCGGTCAGTATTTATCCTAGATCCTCGCCCGAATTTCACCCTCCCAAAATCAGAGCCCAAAAAATCTTAACCCTCCTGAAACATTTGTCAGCCCTGAAACCCAATAATAATGAGCCGCTCCCTTAGTTCAAAATACCAGCACACTTAAACTCAAGTCTGTACATCCTAGATATCAGCACAAAACCACAAAGGATTAAAAGTAGCGTTAAGTGTCTCATAGCCCTTGTCATACATTTTGACCTGTGAAATATGACCTGTCCAGTTATAGCTACACAGGAAAATTAATCGCCTACCCCAAGTCTTTCAATGCATGAAATGTATCTCGAGTCTCAGCATTTTGAGTGATCCCTGAAGGGAGGCCTAACTTACATATTATTGTGTTTTAATATGAAGTAACAGTAAGATTTTTATAAGTTTTTGACAGGTTTTATTTGTCAGAATAATTTTTGTTTCTGTCTAAACACCCCAACAGAGTAAGACTCTTGTTTTGGGAACAGGCAGTTAATTCTATTATCATTAATTCCTAAAAACTGATAATCCACTAGAAATCTAATCACGAGTTCATATTTGATACACTAAAAACCATGGACAGGTCCATACACTCAAAATCTTATGTATACTGATCAAGAAACAAAAATACAAAACCACTAGGTACAAACAACAACACAATAAAAAACTGCCTATGGAGTGGGTGGGAGGGACACTTGAAATTCAAATACCGTATTGATAAGCTTAATCTTGCTTGCTTGCTTGCTTGCTTGTTACTGAGAGTGCACCGAAATTCTAAGCCTTTGTCAGATAATATAAAAAATTTAGCAATAGACTACAAGCTAACGTGGCATTTGGTTAACAGTATGGTCTTATGACTCTCATAAAATATATTGCTCAATTCTGAAATAGGATGATTCCTATACAATGCACAACTGCCTGCCCCCAACCCAGACCTCTCCATTAACAGTGTCTAGATTCATATTAATGAGATAAATATTCACCTAAACACCAAAACAGACTAAGACTCTTGTTTTGGGAACAGGCAGTTTATTCTATTATCATTAATTCCTACTTACATAATCTACTAGATATCTAATCAAGAGTTCATATTTGATACACTAAAACTATGGTCCAAACCCAGAGGCAGAAGAAGTGGAAAGGCTAGTGTTGTGAAAGTGGTGTGGAGTATGTGAAAGGATAGCTTTACCCAACATGTTAGCAGAATGAAGGTGAATGGTTAAAGGCATGTTAAATAAATTAGTATGGTGTCAGAGTGCTAATTGCCGACGGCTTTAATCAATTTGATGGATACACTGGCTTGGTATGTAAAGGACGCCCCACCCCTGCAAAAAGAGTGCCCAGCAAACAGCTTAGACTGCAGGGCAGGCATAGTTTGGGTGGGTGAAAGCTTGTTCATGTTCGTATTGTTGTAGCTGCCATCTTTGATTTTATGACAGAGGAAGATTGGGGAGAGTAGAAATAGTAACCCTTAGGGTAGGTGCGAGGGTGGGTAACTTAGGGTAGCTGCAGGCTACAAACAGCTTGGGGTCGAAATCAAGGGATGTAAGATGAATTCGCAGGGTGGACACAAAGGAGCCATAGGTAAAATTTTTACAAGCTGCTTTTGGTCTACCTATCGCTAGTTGAAAACTTGAGAGTTGAAGAAGGATGCTGCGATGGTAAAGCGAAAGGCATTTGTGATGGTTGCTGTCGGACATAGTTTGGAACGGGGAATGCAAGGCAGTGGCATTTCTATAATCTGTTCAAGAAATTGTATGGTCTTCAGGGCTCAAAATAACGGCCGGTCAATGGACAATGTCCGGCCTGATCGTTGACTTGAACGGTCAAACTCTCATCTTGCCGGTCATTTTGACCAGTCATTTTTGGATGCGAACATTTTATAATGTTTTCCATATAGTTGTCGCTTAACGCATTTTGCTCTATAACATTGTTTGTTTGGGCTAAAAAGTATTTGGCCCTTCATCATGACCTGGCGACCTGCTGTCCGTTATTTTGAGCCCTGGGTCTTCCTCCAAAGAATAGTGATGAGTACCCTTAGGGAAAGATTTTAAAATCAGCCTTAGTCAATTGCTTGCGCAGATCGAATGATGAAGTTGACACAGGTAACAAATGGGATTTACAGAACAAGTCATAGAATCGAAGGCAACTAAACAAACAGCCCAGAATGAAGCATCTGCACTGTTACCCAGGTCAAGTCGATCATGAAGTTGTAAAAGCATAGCTGGTGTAATTGATTGTTTTTGATTTTTAGTTAACCCCTTAGATCGATTAATGCCAATCAACTGGGAATTAAGCGGCCAGTTATTGAGCAGTGGATTAGGCAGGCCGAGTTCTTTGTGCAGGACACCAATGATATTCAAATTTAATCTTGCTTGCTTGCTTGCTTTCTTAGAGTGCACTACCTTTGTTTAATAATATCAAAAATTAACCAATAGACTACAAGCTAGCATGATGTATTACAATTGGTTATCAGTATGGTCTCTTGACTCTCATACAATATGTTGCTCAATTCTGAAAGAGGATGACTCCTATACAATGTACAACTGCCTACCCCCAACCCAGACCTCTCCGTTATTAGTGTCTAGATTCACATTAATGAAATCAATATTCACGATATTTCATTCAAGACAGATTATAAACGAGTGGCTAAAAAATTATTAGCCCTAGCAATATCAACAATTCATGATGTCTGAAGATATTAACGGCTTCCTCAGCTTCCTGTGTCTGAAATTAACTTACACATTAAACTATCAACTGTCCACGGAAAAAAGGCAAAGTTAAAAGTAAACAACATGAAAGGGCCACTGTGTGCTTGAACATTTGACCTGATGTACAGTACATTAAGTAGAGAAGAATCCCTTCCCAATTCAAAATGTCCAAAATGGTGACCCATAATTCTATTTCCTTGTTCACTAATCTGTTTTGTAAACCCAAAATGGCAGAAAAACTATGCACACAAAGACAAGCTACAAACAGAAGTAAAAATACCTTCAACGTACCTCAAGAGTCTAGGCCTTCTTCAGTAGAGAGTGATACCAGGTAAATGAAAATTCAAAAAGTGAAAGCGCCTGCAAAAATGGTGGCGAGAAGATTCTCTAGCCCGTTTGGAAGGTCCTATAATCACGCAATTCGCCATGTTAGTGATTTAGAGTCACGCTATTTTGTTTCCAGTATGAACTGTGCCATATTGCCAAGACCAGCATTAATACTACTATAAAAGCTGTAAAGGCCATTTGAGAGACAGTATACAAACTCTAAATGGAAAATTGTCAAATCACAGTAATAAACGAATGCTCTCAACTAGCCTCCATTCC